ATTAAAGCTTGTTAGCAAAATGCGGTATATCCATTTTGTAAAGATGTTATGGAAAGTTTTTAAACTTTAAAAGACCTGAATAGGTTTTAATGATTAATTTTATTTAACATATTGAACAAATATGTGTATTTAATGTTTGGTCATTATATTTTATTGATAATGTGAATGTAAACAATGTTTTATTAAAGTAATGTAAACTATTACATTTCACAATTCGCAATTGTAAATTTATATTTGTTTCGGAGAGTTAAATATGGACAATAAACAATAATATTTTTTTAGTGTTGTGTAGTTGTAACAATGATGATCACTATTTTTAAGTCTCCATAGAACTAATGGACAATTAATATAACGTAAAAGTCATCGTTATATTTTTGAACGAAATAAAATTTTAAAAATGAAAGACTGCAATAGCCTCATTTTATTTGCAACAAAGCAATTGTCGGTTTAACAAAAAATAAAAAGGAAGTATTATTATTGAATGCTTTCCATTAAAAAACAGGTAACAATATGTTTAAACTTATTAATTTAAGTTGCCTTTTTAATATATTTTCTATCATTGTTCCATAATTCGTTCAGTTAAACAAACAAAGCATGGTAGCTTAAACGAACACTAGAATTAAGAAATGCTTTTCTTTTCTTTTGTTTCATACATCATATCTTTTTTTCTATGTGAAATAGGATATTAGGTAACGCATTAATCTTGTCGATCGCAATCCGCCATTTCTTTAACGCAACTTTAAAATATTTGCGCTTGCGCAGAAGTAATATACATTTGCCACGGATTGCTCAAAATTAAATACCGCATTTTGAAAACAAATAAAAAATTTATTACCGCGTTTTGAAAGTAAATGTTTTTTAGAAGTAAAAAAATATTGAGTTATACTTCGTTTATCATATATTCGGACACAATGTCTGCTAGGTCCTTATAAACTAAAAATAAACCACACAATTTCTCAAAAATTTTGAAAATGGCGTTTACCCGCGTTTTGAAAACAAACTCTTCATATATATTATATATATATATATATATATATATATATATATATATATATATATATATATATATATATATATATATATATTATATATATATATATATATATATATATATATATATATATATTATATATATGATATTATATATTATATATATTATATAGTATATATATATATATATATATATATATATATATATATATATATATATATATATATAGTATATATAGTATATATATATATATATATGTATATATATTATATAAATATATATATATATATAATTATACATATATATATATATATATATATATATATATATATATATATATATATATATATATATATATATATATATATATATATATAATATATATAATATATATATATATATATATATATATATACATATACATATATATATATATATATATATAATATATATATATATATATATATATATATATATATATATATATATATATATATATCGAAATACATCTCTAAAAGGGAAAAAACAATTTTATTTTACTATCGCTTTGATTCCGCTGAGTATCGGATATTTAATGTTAGATGCTGTTGCAACGCTAAATTTGTATTTTTTATAATGCTTTTATATTTTTAAATAATATGAATGATTATTGCCAATTAAGGCATTAAAGTTTAAGTACCATTACAAAGATGTATTTTTTGTAATGGTACTTGAAGTTTTATTGAAAGTGAGTCAAAGTTGCTAAACAAAATCGCGATTCTGACTCTAATAGTAAAACTTCTCTGTATTGCATGTGGATTTACAAATTATTTACCCTTCAAAGAACTTTTTATATATTTGGCAAATAAGATTTTTTTAATCATTGCATAATATTGTTTTAAAGAATTCAAAGAATTATTCAAAAAAATTTTTTTGGTGTTGGAATTGGAGTCAGAGTCATTCTTTATAATATATATATATATATATATATATATATATATATATATATATATATATATATATATATATATATATATATATATATATATATATATAATATATATATATATATATATATATATATATATATATACATATATATATATATATATATATATATATATATATATATATATATATATATATATATATACATATATATATATATATATATATATATATATATATATATATATATATATATATATATATATATATATATAATATTTATATTTAGATATATTTAGATTTTTTTGCGTTAGACAAAAACCCTATATTTTTTTTGAACTTTACTTGTTTATATATTCTTTTAAGGTTAAGCATGAAACTTGAGATTTTTTGCATTATTCAGTTTAAATCTACCTCTTCTCAACCATATATAGGAAGCACTATTTACTACTTTATATATTATTTAAATAGCTTTACTTATATATATTTTTTTTTCAGAGTTTCAGAAAAAATTTATATTCCAACTTGCTGAAATGAAAAAAATTTTAGTGGTTTGAACTGCACTGTTCTCTAATAATCCAGAAGAAGGTTTTAAACAACGTAAAAGTTCAGATAAACTTAATGTTTTGAAAAAAAAGTTCGCAGATGGAGATATCCAATACATCACTTTTGTAGACATGAGTTTCATCTTTTAAGTTTTTATGTTTATATTTTCACAATATTTATTTTAAATTGTCATAAACATTTTCAATGTTTCTTATATATTGTTTCTTTTTAGGTAAAACAGTTATCATTAATTGACGGTAAAAATCTAGCTGATACAATTAAAAAATATTTTGCTCTTGTAAGTAATTAGCAAAAGTTTGAATTTTAACATTTATGATTGACAGTACAGCATTTATCTTCTTTTTTATATATGTAGACTGCCAACAGACACTATTTTGTCAGAATACAGTATGAATTGTCTAAAGAAGAAAAAAAAGTTTAAAGAGTTGACAAGTCTATGTAACGCTGTCACTGGTATTCTTATTAGCTTATTAATGTGTTTGATTAATTAAAAATTAAAAATGATGTTTTAATTAAAAAAAATTTAATTTTTTTGAATACATGTCATGTTCCAGAGCCAAAAAAATTTAATTTTTTTGGCTCTGGAACATGACATGTATTCAAGTGTATGTATGACATATATATTTTATTTTATGAACTTATTGAAACATATTTTGTTGTTTTTATTAGAAGCTGCTTTAAAGTCAAATAAAAACTTAACCAAAATGAATGCTATCCAACTTATTGGGAGAGGAATTAGGCTTCTTCTGAGCGAATGAAGAGAACATTGACTAATATGGATTTCGATCAATGTTGGCTTAATTAACTGTTTGTCATTTTCAAGCCATTTTCTTCTATTTATAATGCACTATTGATTTCATTCTACAGTACCTATTAGTTTTTAATTTGAAAAATGTAATTTTGTTTGAAAAATTATTCTTATTTTTTGTAATGTTGTTAATTTATTTAAATATATCAAATTACACTTTATTTACATTGATTTATATATATTTCTTATAAATATATTATATATTTCTTTTTATAACTTTCCTTGCCTAGATTAAGGCAAATCTAAGGTGTGTGTTGTAAATCATTGCATTTTATATATAACTTTTAAAAGAATGACTTGGTAAAATTCAAACGTCTCTAGAACGTCTGAAGAAGACGTCCTTAAGTCTTTCATATGAGACCATGTTATGTTGATCTTTCAAACGAGACGTTTCTAGAACGTGTGCAAAAACGTCTCTAGGACGTCTTAAAAAAACGTCTTTAGGACGTCTGAAATAGACGTCTTCAAGCCTTTCATTTGAGACCAACTAAGGATGTCTTACGGACGAGACTTAAGACGTCTTACGGACGTCCTTAGGACGTCAAAATGCCCGCTGGGTAAGTATGCAATTTAAGCATGCTAAGATAAAATAATATTTATTTAAGAATTATTATTTTTTGTGGCAGTCGGGAGTCAGCTGATACAATAATTAATCAACTTCAAAGAAGAAAATTAGTTACAGCAAACTGGAGTGTTGGGAATTCGTTAGAAAGATGTTTAAGAATTATTTTTAATCACCATAAAACGTTATATATCTATTTGCAGTTATATTTTACTGCTTCATTTATCTGCTATTTTTCTATTAGTTTCTTAGTAAAAATGTTGCTAGTTAACCTTTGCTTCTTACAGACTCTGAAATATTTCAGACACCCAAAATAATTAATTTAATTAATCATCAGTATTTCTTTATATGTGATAATTTTACTTAAAGTATTGGTCTTGGTATTGTGGTTTACCCTTTTCCGGCTAATTCCAAAATAGAGGCCTCATACCAAGGCCCGCGATAACGAGTTCAGCTCACTTAAGAGTACCATAACCCGCTTCAACGGACTAAAAGTAAGTGATTTTAAGAAGAACAAAGGAGAGTTAAGGGAAATTCAGAAGAAATTGAGTTAGAAATACCATAGAGAAAGCGGACATTTTTTGGTTATAACTAATTAGCGTAATTGAAAACTGCGAGATTGTTGCGTTAACATATCGTGTTAACTCTTCTACTAAAACAATTAATTGTTTTAGTAGAAGAGTTAACATGATATGTTAACGCAACATATTTGATTGAAGTTTTAGCTATCTTACAATGATACTACTGTATACACTTTTATATTTATCAAAAGATATCAGCTAGATATACTAACTTACATCAACATATATTTATATCAACCTACATAAATAAAAAAAAGTTTCAATCTTTGTTAAAGCAGAGCAAAGAATGATAAATATAATCTTAGAAATTAAAAATATAAAGAAATTTGATATCTACGAAATAATAATTAAATTTTTAATATACGCAGAAAACAGAAAACCCACATAAATTAATTATAAAAAAAACATTAAAAAAATTAATGTAAATTGAAATAAATACTTACAGAACCCATAAATTTAATGGTATTTAAATAGTTGAATCATTTGAAAATGTTAGCGTATTTTACAAATTCGGTCCGTATTCGTAAATTCGAGGGTAAGGTGATTTGGGAAGAACGAAGATATGTTAGAGTGAAAGGCAGAAGTAGTCGAGTTAGAAATATAGCATAGAGAAAGCGCACATAAATACAAAACGCACTGTCAGTTAGGTTAACCTAAGTAAAGTATGCCGACAAAGTTGAGATTGGAGTTCACATTGCATGAGCTCTTCCTCAACTTTCTTTGTCGTACGAAAGCTATTGATGGTATTATAATTTATTCCATCATCAGGCTAAATGCCTTATTGACGTCCTCATAATAAATACAAGGTTAACGAAAAAAAACGAAATAAAAAAAAAAAAAAAAAACGTTTACAAAGATGTCCATTAAATATGTATAAAATAAAACTAAATAAAATAATAAAAAACAAAAATAAAAAACCGAAAAAAGAAAAAAGAAAAAACACAAATTATACGAAATAGTCACGAGCATCTGCTATCAAATTTAATCTTCCTTTTTTAAAAATGTTTCTTATTTCATTTATGGGTTTTTTTTGATTATTTTGTTGCCTTAGCATAAGTAGTTCGTTTAAAAATAATCTTTTAATTTTTCTTTTAAACTTTTCTAGCAAATATTTCTTAGTAAATGATTTATTTTCAATTTGACTTTTCATTCTGTTAAAAAAAATCTCACAAACAAAATTTTCTAATAATAAACAGCCAAATGCCTCTGGGTTGCGTTTTTTTTGTATCCAAATAAAATAAATTTAAAATTGTTATTATAAGGGTATTCAGTAGGGTAGAGCTGGTCTAAAATATCTAGAACATAAAATGTTAGTGGCTGTACTTTTTCACATTCATACATCATGTGGGCATTATTTTCATTTTTAAGTTTGCACTGTGGGAAAAATTTGTCTTTTCTAATTTTAAAATCAAACATTTTATCGTTAGTTGGCAATAAAAAGTGTGCTGTTTTTAAGAGAATTTCTCACGCTTTACTGTTTGTATTTCTTTTATAAAGATTTATAAAGAAACGTTTCCAATTTTTTTCATTTATATTTTTTATGCTTTCATAACAATCTTTCCATTTTTAATATTTATAGTTCAAACTCTTTGTTGGTTTGTTTAATAATTTGTAAAAAGTTAAAACAGTTAGATTTTTATATTCGTATTTTGTTTTCCTTTCAAATAAATAAAATGAAGACTTATTAAAATTAAAATTTTGACATTCTTTTAGAATTTTTTTATACCATTTTCTTTGCAAAGCTTTTGTAAGACATTCTAATTCTTTTTCTGTCAAGCCAATGCTTTTATGATATAAAAATCCGAGCTGAAACATTTTAGTAATATCTGCTATAAGTATAATACCGTTTTTAATGTGAGTTTCGCTCGGAGTTAAAAACTTATTTGGCATAGTTTTTATCATTGAGTTAAAAAAAAGAGATTGGTTCAAAATTTCTTCAATTTTTGTTATAGGTAAAACATGTTTTTGTTTTAAACTATACCAATTAACCAATTAACTAAGAACTGAGAGTAAAAAGAAGGTAAGAGTTTCATTTGAGTAGGGGTTGTTTCAAATGTGTGTTTGCTTTGGTTCGCATTTCTGTGTAGATTTAGTATGTAAACCATAGCATCTTTCCACGGACCGCATACACTTTCATTGTGTATTTTGCTGATCCACTGCAGTTGTATGGCCTTAAGTTTTTTCGTTAAGCCGTTGCTGAAAGCTATTGATTATTTGCAAGATCATAATAAAATCATCATTCAATCATTATTTATAGTAAGTAACAATCATCACTAAATCACTTGTGAATCGATATAAAAAAAAAACAGCGGCGTTTATAACTGCTTATTTACTAATGACAAGTTGTGAGTCTATCATTAATTGTAAAATGTTTTAATATACACCTTTGAATAAGTGTTTAATCTTTACTTACAATAAGTATTGAACTACTACTAAATCACAAGTCATGCGTGCATTGGGTATATCACATTACCTTTTCGGGAAAATTATTCGCGCTTTTTTTTTAAAAAAAAGAAAAAAAAGAAAAGAATAATATTAATAAAAAGAAGTTGCAAATGTTAGCGTTGTACATCTTAACAGTAATGCTTTTGAGAAACAGTAATACTTTTGAGAAAACTTTCATATTCCAAGCTTTTTTTTTTTTTGATATATAATAAAACCCTATTATGTTGTTTGAACGCAACGGAAAAAAATTTTAACAGATTGGTAAAATTTGTTTTCGTTGCGTTCAAATGTCACTAAAGGTTTTTTTTTGCCGGTTTTAACAGTGATTGTATTTTAAACAAAGGTATTCAACTTGAGTACATCTTAATTATCTCTGTTTTTGGGATATAATCATATATAAAATATGTTTAATACAAAATATGTAAATAAGTTTATATGTAATATACAATTTTAGTGCAAAGTCTCCCACTAAAATTTTAACTACAGTTGAGATTCTTAGGATTCATTAAACCTTCTGGTAACTTCTTGAGATTAATAATATAGCAATACAATCAGTATTAAGATCTAGCAATATGTTGCAATTTTCATAGGATGTTTCACTTTTATTAATATGCAAACA